ACACTATGATAATTAATATTCACGCTTTATCTATTGAATTATGGAGATGGAAATATGATCATCATAAGTAGAATATTATTATTCACATATCATAAAAGATGGTTGATATGACAACGGCAATGTTTGTTTTTGCAACTGGTTTTTAAACCAATGTTAGATGAAAACTTTTTTCACAAGTTGAAATCATGAGTCAATTGAAGCTAGACCACCATGGAAAGCCTGGAAGCATTGGACGGCCTTTTCGTCCTGGTATGGGACTCCTCATCAGTGCGCATTTACGACCCCGCACCTCGCGGGATTTGAACCCAGGACCTACTATTTGAACCCAGGACCTACTGGCTTGGTGCGCGGGCACTTAACCATTAGACCACTGAGCCGGCATCCAACGGTGTTAATGTCTAACTTCAACCAATACTGTTGAGGAGTTCCATACCAGGACGAAATGGCCGTCCAGTGCTTCCAGGTTTTCCATGATGGTCTAGCTTCAATTGACTCATGATTTCAACTTATGAAATTTCTGAAAATCTCCACAAAACCCATTCTGATAAAACTTTTTTTAAAAAAAACAAAACATTTTAAACAAAACTTCCAGTATTTATAAGTTTATTGAAGATGCCACAGGTATTCGGAGTTTTGACAAAGCTTTAACCAGTAACACCTTCTAATATGGATCGTACCCACCACCAAATGAAATCAAAAGACAGAAGCGAGGAGGTTCCAAGATATATTTGATAGGCTATCAATATATCAAGGATAGACTGATCTAATCTGGCTAGCGATTGCAAGAGTTGTTGAGTACGGAGTTACCACTCGTGATCTGTTGCGGATGCATGACCGAGTTCCTTCAGCTAGGTGAGTTCATTAAAACTAATGTGGTCAGCATCCAATGTCGAGAACTTACAGAGATATTTATTTTGGGGATTTATTTACCGCTACATTATAATTAATTAAGTTTAGAATAACATTTGAGGTGTCTCTATATAAATATATTTAACAGTCAGTTAGTCAGTCAGCAACAATGTAAAACTTCTTACGTATGTACATTAGATCAAGTTACCATACCACATTAGCACGGAGATGCAGTGGTCGATTCAAATCCCGTAGCGGTAGAGTTAGTAAGAGTATAAGCAGTAATCGGAAAGATTAGGGTTTGAAGATATTATTCAAGGAGCATAATTGAGTGAAATAAATTTGGAAAGAGAAAAAAAGTGACATGAATAATTCAGAAGATTAGAATTTGGGAGAACACAAAGAGTGGATGCACCTGCACCATTGAAAACGATTTTCAGCCATATCATTCAGGGTCTCTAACCATCGGTTGCTATCGTCTCGCGGATCCCAATCAGACAGTCCTACACCTACCAACATGGCTCAGTTCACCTGTCAGTGACTTCATGGACTTGTGCCATGTTTTGGTCTGGCCGTCCCTAGCTTTCTTCCATCCTACTCCTACACCATAAAACATTGCACGTCGGGGTGGTTGAGCATATGTAACACGTGTCCCAGCCATCTCAACTGATGAAGTTTCACTACGTCATCAATTGATTTGCCATCCTTGCCTAGTACCCGTTTCCTAATAACTGCATTACTTACTCGATGGTCCCAGGATATACGAGCAATGTTTCGGAGACATCTATGATCGAATATTAGTAACCTACGAATATCCTCTACTCTTACCGGGAATGTTTCACTGCCACAAAGTAGGACGGAACGAACTTACTTACTCCCAATGGAGCATAGATCACCAACCAGCATTCTCCAACCCACTCTATTCTGTGCCTTCCTTTCTAGTTCCATCCAATTGTTGTTCATTCTTCTCATGTCTGTCTCCATTTCTCGGCGTAACGTGTTCTTTGATCTTCCTCTCCTCTTTTGGCCTTGAGGATTCCATGTGAGGGCTTGTCTTGTGATACACTTGAGTGCTTTCCTCGATGTGAGTCCTATCCACTTCCAGCGCTTCTTCCTGATTTCTTCCTCTGTTGGAATCTGGTTTGTTCTCTCTCACAGTCGGTTGTTGCTGATAATGTCTGACCAACGGATCCGAAGTATTTTGCGTAGACAGTTGTTAATAAACACTTGTATCTTCTGGATGATGGCTTCCGTAGATCTCCAAGTTTTCGCCCCACACTATGGAAGCTTTTTCGACACGACGGCGTACCTGATGCGCAGTAAACCCGTCTTTTGGTTGGTAGACGGATATCCCGTCCGATGAAAGTTGGCAAAAACTAGTCGAGACTTCTGTATCCGTACTGACATTTCATCACACACCAGACCCCAAAGTCTGATGAAACTCCCAATATAAGTGAAGCGGTTGGTACGCTCAACTACTTCACCTCCTATCAGTAGTTCAGGGTCCGATGCAACCCATTTCTGAGACAACATTTTGCATTGCGAGGGGGCAGTGGTATTCGAGTAGATAGCCTTTATAAGGTTAATGTATTTCTTTTGTACTCCTTCCAGTGACAAACACTGCCGCAGAACCTCACGATCAACAGAGTCAAATGCCGCTTTAAGGTCGAGAAGTATTGCTGCTGTGGGACTTCTGAATGTATGTCTATGTACTAGGACCTAAGGTAGTGTGAATATCTGGTCCATACAGCCACGTCCAGATCGAAAACCAACCTGGTTTTCTCATGTCTGCTCTTCACGAGCTTTAGTTGGGCGTCGAAGTATTATTGAAGCTACTATTTTGGACAGTATTAGTCAAACTGATTCCTCTTCGACTGCCACAAGAGGACTTTTGTCCTTTCTTATAGAATGGCACAGTTTAAGGATTGGGACCAGTCAGATGGCACTACGTCCAGTTCCCAAATTCTATTTAAGACCTCAGTTACTCTCACTGCTAATACTGGACCACCATCCTTCAAAATCTCAGGGGTAAACCTGTCAGGGCCTACTGCTCTCCCTCGCTTCAGATTTCCTATAGCATTTTCAACTTCGTAAAAAGTTTGAGGACTTACATCAATTTGTCATTCAGGTCGACTGAAGATCGTTGGAAACCGAAGTGTGACTGAAGGTCAGTTGAACTGATCACTAAAGTGTTTTGCCCATCGATCCAATCTCCTGCATTGAGAATGAATAATATGTCCATCTTATTCCGAGATAACTTCGCTAACAGTTGGGTTCCCAATACCGGTCTCCTTGACAAGTCTGAACAGTTGTCTGGTGTTACCTATCGCCACTGCCTTTTCCATCTCTCTTGCTTTCGCTACCCACCACTGTTCGCAGTCATTCCATAGGCTTCTCATCAGCCTGTGCTTAAGCTGACTCGGCTCTCCGTCATGTTCAGAGCCAGATGGAATGAGTTTCCGAGCATCTATCAGTGCGGTAGATGCTGCTGAGATCCATTATTTCTCCCTAACCTTATGGTTTACCTTACTAGCAGATATCACTCCTGTTTCCACAGCTTTTCGGATGTCATTCCACACTGCCTCGGGGTGGGGATCACATACATGGCTCCCTAACTGTTTTTCTAGTTGTTCCTGAAATGTATTCTTAGCTTGGCTATCATTAAGTAGGACCATGAGAAGTTTCTTTGCAGCGTCTTTCCTACATCCAGTAAGACCTAGACAAATACGCGCTCGTACTAGAGTATGATCTGAATCTAAGCATGTGCTCAATAACGAGTGACAGTCTTTCATTGAGCCCCTCCATCGGTGGCTGATAGCGATGTGATCTGGTTGGGTCCAACGTTGGGACGAATTCGGGGGTCGCCAGGGTAAAATATGTTTTTCCTTATGCCTAAAGTTAGTATTTGCTAGAAACAGGCGGTTATATGAGCACAGCTGCAACAGATGGTCGCCATTATCTGTTCTTTGACCGACGACAACATGAGATCCACCTATGTGTCTTTGCTTTTCGATTAGTTTACCTACTTGAGCACTAAAGTCACCAGCCACTATTACTACATCTGAGCTGCAGTCAGTGGGAGAATAGGCAGAGACGACGAAGAGGCAACGACGAGTAACCCTATCTTTCCGAGTCCTTACTCTTATGTTTAGTCGGACAGCGCATAAACGACTATCTACTGGGATCCAGTATAAGAGAACTAGTTATGCCCTAAAACTCAATGCTATGACTACACCAGAAAGGCCATGGGAAGCAGCATCAGGGCTTCCAGATACACGAAGCGTGAATCCAGATGGTTCTTTATTTTCATATGGTGAGGTCAAATGAATGACGCTACTCGGATCCTGTATGCGTTTCGAAGACGCGGCACACATCGATGGTGCAAGATCCTAAAGTCCTAGTCTAGGAAGCTTGTTGTCTTATTTGGCACAGTGTTCGGACGTTGAAAGCTCCCACATGCAGTTTAGAGCGTGGTTTCAGGAGACCGACAATAAAGTCCCGCCTACTCGAATCGTTTGCATTAGCGGCGCAAGGTGATAAAGTAACGTGAGAAGGGTTAGCCGTGGAGATAAGAGATTTATTTGGAGGTGTAGGAGGGATTTGAATGTGGCCGACTTGGCCTCGGGTGCTGTTACGGGTATGAGGGCTGATGTCACTTTCCGGCTGCCCACACCGTGTAAAGGCTTTTCTTGAGAAACACGAAAAGGAAGTCGGATTAATGTTGGTCTTAACGACGTGGGAGCGTGACCAGAATTCAAGGGACAACTGTTTGAGGCCGGTTATGCACGACCTTTTTGTGGGAAGTTTTTAACATGTTAGCTCCGTTATGCAAAAGGCCTTACCGGCTGAGACAGAAATCCGTGAGGTGTGACATTTTTAGGGTCGACCTTTTCTAACGGCTTTCCAGTGCTTTCAAGTCTTCAGTGGCGGTGTAACTTAGATCAGTTCATGATTTCAAGGGAATTCAACAATTTCCACAACTCCATACTGAAAACTTTACGATTACGTTAAGCATGTTGTTCCCTTTTCTTGTTATTTATATCACCTAACGAACTAAACTTCATTGATTACGGTATATGAAACTCTTTAAAATGATATTCCCAATGCGAATTTAAGTTGTTTGCAGCTGATGAGAAAGAAAGTTTGAAATATAATGATGAATTCATTTTATTTTGGATGTCTTGTTCTTAGCGCTTTATTCATATTCATCAAGGAATTAAGATGTATGGAAATAAACAAACAAATAAATAACACGAAAAAAAAGAAAGATAAACTCAAAAACAAACAAAAGAAAACAGGAAAATAAAAATCACAAAACTGCCAGAAGAGCACATACACACACACATATATACACTGAGTATGTATGCATAACATTGTACCTTAAAAGCAAAATGATCGAAAATGATCATGATTGATTTGTCAAAAATACTAACTAATCAATAGAATTGAAGAAAAAAACTTGGAGTCTATCACATCTTGTATGAATGAATGAATAAAAGGTAATAAGAGAACAATTATAATGTAGTACATATTTACACATACATTCACAAATAGACATAGACAGACAATGTAAGTCACTAATCAAGTACTTAACACTTTAACCGATAACCTTATTCAATAGGTAAAGGGATTCAAAATGATGATAACGATGATACTATTCAGCTGCTCCAATGGAAATGAATAAAAATGAACGAGATTGACGGTGGAACACCTTAATCAATAAACCACTATTTCACAATTAATAAGATCAAATGAATGAATGAACGGATGAATATACACTATTATATTGTGAATGGGGAGTAAATATGACAAATGGGGGAAAGACGGAAACTGACGAGTAAGAGAGAGAGAGGAGGGGGAGGGGAAATCGATGACAATGAAAACAAACAAATCAATGACTACTATACAAACAGGCGTGTTGCACAAAAAAAAGAGAGAAAGGATTAACAAAATTACATACATACATACATACATACATACACACACACAAACATTCATATGATATTGTACTTTTGTAAAAGTTCTATTTTCTATTATCAAGAATCCGGATATCGTACTAATTCGAATAAATCACCAGTCTCTATTTGATATGAATATAAATTACGATTTGGATATTTTAATTCTTCTGGACCTTGAATTTGTGACATAACTTGATCAAAATAAAATAATTTCAAATGTTTAATTTCATGTTGATTAGTAATATTGAATAAATTACAGAAATGACGTTTAGCTTGTGATACTTTTAAGTTGACATTTATATTATACCAAACCTGAAAATCAGAGAAAGAGAGAGAAAATGAAATCATGAGGAATGATATAATAATATGTTGGATAATATATTTTATTAAGTTTTTGATTGAGATCATGAACCGACTGATGTTAAACCACTATTGAAAACCTGAAAGCACTGGATAGCCGATTTGTCCTAGTATGAAACTCCTCAGTAGTGTACAACCACGATCCTGCTTGCGAGATTCGAACTCACGGCCTTCAGTCTCGCGCGCGAACGCTTAACCTCTATAGACCATTGATCCAGCATCCAATGGTGTTAATGTTTAGCCTTAACCAATCCATGAAATTGAGCGACCAACTCCCATTGTACTGAAGTAGATAACTATCTCCATTGGTCACGGCATGGTCTAACATCAATCAGTTCATGATCTCGATCAAAAACTTAATAATTCCCACAACCCTACACTGATAGTATTTTTATTAACAAGGTCGAAAAGTATTTTAGAAATAAAATGAGTTTTGTCCCTTTTTTTGGGTATACACCTGAATCTTCAGTGTTGATGACGTTTACAAAACTCAGTATTTATTGCTTCAAATGTTAAGGTATTATTACATAAAACCACTATTGATCAAAGTGAGCATAAAACTTGTTCATTATGTATGATATTCATTATTATTCATAAGAGTGTGTATTTTTCCTATTAATAATATTCAAGATGGAAATCAAGCAATCACTGTTGGCTACCGGATAAATTGATATTGCCCGTATGTAAGCAGGAATTGATTAAATACAATTTGAAATATCAATAACGGGGGATTGCGAACTCCAATAAATTTAAAATTTAGTTTGTGAAATGTCAAAAGTGATCTCATAGACATTATCCCCATATGCTATCGTGATATGTATACGTTACAGGTTTTAGATCATAGACATCTTTCAAGTATTGCTCACGTTCTGAGGAATGACCGGAGTGAGTAATCTTAAGGTTAAGCATCGAGTTACTAGGGAAAAGTACCAAATCGATTGATGGGATTATAAATTTTCGCTGAGTAAGGTTAGAGTTAGGACATAAGTTACATATCCCTAATCATCCCTCGCCTTGATAGTGAAAAGTTTCATGGTGTAGTCGTCGGTTGGAAAAGAAACTTCGAGTGGGTAAACCAATACATAACATTATTCCATAAAGTTATTGACTGTTAATTTGTTCTATGTTGGCATGTGAGGATTACCTGGTTGGGCTCTGTGTGATAATCGCAATCGGTGGTTAGAGAATGGATGACATGACTCAGAATTGTCTACAGTGGCGTGGATGCATTCATTCTTTATCTTTGTCTCGATTTCGAATTTATTTATATAATCCTTTCCAATCAGCCTTTCCGAATTCTATTCTCAATATTTAGACCTTTTTACTGTCATCGCTACTAAATTAATTTGATCTCTTTTAATATACATCTTTTTTAACTCCATTATATCGAGCTAATATGGTATGGCAAATGAGTCGAACAGGCATCTGCCTTAGGCTCTACGTAAATGATAATTGACTACCATGACGTTTTTCAATATGAGTAAAATGATAGTGCTTGTTGGATTAACCCCACAATAGTCATGTATCCTGGTAAGGATCAAACGGTCGAATTTTTATGACAAATGTTTACCAAAACAATTAACGAGAAATATAATATGATTTCAAGTGTCTTACATTAAAAATAGAACACCAATTGGTTGATTCTAAAAAGGTTTAGTTAGTCGTCATAAGGAATTTGAAACCTGGAACACATGTGCATTAGTTAGGAAAAATACATTTGAGTTCTCCGTGAAACTTCTAACAAGTACTCATATAATAATAATAATAATAATAATAATAATAATAATAATAATAATAATAATAAATGATTGGTACTATTAAAAATTGATCAGATTAAATAGTTTTTAATAATATTAAGGGTGACCTTCCATAGCATTATCAGTAATTAATGAAGCTTCAGAATGAAATAAAATAACTAACTGCCTAGTATGTCTGAATATTTATCGATTGTGCAACGTATGTGAACCTTGTTTTAATACTAGTTCTGAACCATACCGAATTTTCTAGCTTCAGTGAGCTCTCAAGTTATTGTATTAGTCAGACCACTAGTTCATAGTGAGTCTCCTTTAAACAAAAGAAAGAACACTTGTGATATTTTGTAGTTTACATAATAAACGGATATTAGACAACCACTGGAAACCAACAAGCACCTGTTTCGTATCAGAATGGGATTCCTCAGCAGTGAGCATCTACAACCTCGACGGATGGACGAACCGAAGAACAGGTTTGTATTATCTAACTTCATTTAATTGACGACATAACGCAACCATGATCCAACGTCCATAAGTGGGCATCTTCTTATCACCCTACAGAGTTGAAGTCTACTGATCTCATCTTCTCACAAGAAATCCTGGAATTATCTCTCGAAATAAGTCACTAGCGAGCACATGACTATTATTAGCATGTAAGGGATTTGCAAAGATTGTCGAGATTCATGGTTTACATAACAAACTTAACCTATGACATTATTTATTAGAACAGGGTGTCAAGATTGGTTTAATGTAAATGTTGGTACGATGAACTGACAACGTTAGCTGAGGGAACTGTTGAAACCAAGGGGAAACTGAACACCTGTTTCGTGTCAAGGACTCTTTAGTATCTCATGCTCACTAACTCGCCAGGAATAAAACCTAATACCCACAATTCAGGTTGCACAACAAACAAGTTACTACTTTTAAACCATTAAGTTGAAGTGTAATGAGATTCATATTTTCAATTTCTGATCAATTCACCAAGTAGTAGCATAACTATCATCCATTATTAATCAATAATAATAACTGGTTTAGCTATACCTTGACATAATTCAACTCCGTTAGTCACAATTTTTCCTACTCGAGATTCATTTGGCGCTTACATACAAGACCAAAGCTCCTACTTTCGATCATATATGATAGGGTCATATATATGTATTGATAAAGAGTCCCATACTGTTATAATCCAGCTATTCTTATTACTTTGTATTATTGGATGCTACTTTACTCGATAAGTTCCTAAATCACAACACAGTTTAACAGGAATGTCATTATATTCCAAATAAAAGAGTTGGATAGAAGTAGGAATTACAATAAGAAAAAATGTTAGAATATTTATAATTTTTACATAAGAAAGTTCTAGAGTGTTCTCCAAGTTACCGCCAGCACTGATTAGTTAGGAGGATAGCTAAACAACGTGACCTAACACAATCTCTGTAAGGAATATGCTTTAATCCGATCTAAATCAATCTAACATAACTTAAAACGAAATAGCTATCTAAAACATTTTAATTTTGAATCATTTTCTAGCTACAATTAATTCATGATACAAACTTTTCTGTCCGATCAAATTTCAAATGAAATAAAGAAGAAATAGGTTAAGGTTAAAATAAAAATAAATTTGATCATTAATCACATTTAGTTGATTAAAAGTATTTTTTTAGGTTTTTCACGTGATCTGATGGATAGGATAATAATAATAATAATAATAATAATAATAATAATAATAATAATAATAATAATAAACATATGATGAGGTTGACCTTGAAGTTGCAATCAACCAATCAAATGTTTTTTTTTAAAAAAATTTTTGTAGCGCGAAAAAGAGACAGAAATAGAAAAATAGGCAAATCATTCTAATTTTGCATGTAAAGCTAAAACATAATTGATAGATGTATAAGATGGAAACAACCTTTAATAATAATAATAATAATAATAATAATAATAATAATAATAATAATAATAATAATAATAATAATAATAATAAAGGAGAATATTATGAAGATTGTAGAATTTGTAGTTTCAAATTATGAACTGATCTTAGTTAGACAACTATTGAAAATTAGAAAGTATTGGATAGCTATTTCGTTTTAGAAGGGCATTACTCCTCGACAGTGTACATTTACAACAATGAAAAGAAAAACTTGGTTTATTCAGGGTTTTTTTATTATAAAAATTGTACACAAAAATGTAGATGAATAGAGGTTACATGTTTGACTGACTGCTAGTTCAGATATGAAAAACAAAATATCAGATAAGTTTCAGCTGTAACTGAACTGTTACATAATAGCTATGATATTGAGCCCTTCTTTGAAGGTATTCTGTTAAGATTTGACCAACATTATGTTCGGTGCAATGGTCATGTGGTGTGGAACAGTCACACAGGGAGTAGTGGTTTAGTGATTAATGCACTCAACTTTTGGATACTAGATCATAGCTTCAAACACCACTCTACTCACTTGGGTTTGGCTGCCCCTATTATTCTTAGGACCTACTTCTACACCAGATAACATCGTCCGTCAAGGTAGATGGTGGTTGCACATGTCTCAACCACCTCAACTGATGAGGATTTACTACTTCACCAATTGATTTGCTATCCTTACCTAATACCTTATCTCTAACCCAGGCATTGCTTACTCATTGGTTCCAAAATACACGAGAATGTTTTGAAGACATATATGATCGAATATTGGTAATCCGTAAGTATTCTTTATTTTTAAAAGCCACATTTTACAACATTAGGTACACAACTCCGTATCTGATAAATGAGATAAATAGATAGACTAAATAATTACCTTATTGATTATGCACATCATTTATCAACAACAAGTTAGTGAACTCGGTTTTGAGCCGCACTTTTTACGCGAAGGGTGCTGATATAACACAAATAAACACGCTTCACTGCACAGTGTTAACACTGACTACTACAAAAACATTACACTGAGTACTACTCAGTGATCAATCAGTATAACTAACTTAGTCATAAAGGCGGTCCATCATAGGTCGAATATCTGGCACAGTGGTAACATAATAAACTATGATGCATGCTCAAATCCCACAGGTAGGAAATCAACTGCTTCAAGAATGCATAGTAAACCTTGCTGATAATTGTTAACTAGCACGAAACTTACGTTCAGGGTTTCCTAACAACTTCCAACGACTTAAGATCAAAACATAGTGCATACGATATCAAGTTACTTAATTACTAGTAGCCACATTGTAACTTCATCGATAGAATTCAATCAATAAAAAGGACTAGACAAACATGACGTTAGTTGATACTCAGTGGATCAACTGATATCAATTGTTCTCAGTGTTCATTGGGTAATTTTAAATGCTTTTTCAATTACTTTTAATTTGTGACAATCATAAAGAAATTATTCCCAAAAAGTTGTTAGTTCTTAATAATTTTGAAATTGTTCATGCCTTATCATTTTCTTCAACACCTGAAACCGATCATGTGAGAGGAAATTGTCAGGAAGTTTGAAACTCGAGGTCAAACCGTTTACGTCTGTAGTGCTATATTGAGTCATAAATCATTGGAATTCGATATGTTCCTTCTGTTGATATATTCAAAGTAAAATTGGATATTTCACAGTACTATAAAATATAAAGATTAACATAGATCATCTCTTGGTATCATTCGATGAAGACTTAAACTACCCGATAATAATAAAAACATGAGACCAAGTGGTGGATCTCGTGATTTTTGCCACAAAAACACATGAAAAAAATTATCAATAAATAGATAATAACCCAATCATACTTACTTCTTTCCCTGACATTGTGACACGTACACGAATATGCTGTTTTGGAGATAAATCAATGTTAGCTAATGGTTGAAGTCGACCATGTCGACGTTCTAGAGCCCAATAACTAAAATTAAGTTATAGATTATGGAAAAATTAAATTAATCATTAAATCAACTACCTATAAATTATTCTCAAAGGAGAAGACAATAGAATGAAGGAAAACAATAAGAAAAATTTAAGTTGGGTAGTTAAATAAATTCTTTAGTGTGAATGAAGTTATACATTTTTTCAATAAATAACTTTTTTAAAGATATACTATAGACGATTTGTAGAGATTGATGAATTTTATCGCTTACATGATGGGTTGATGTTAATTAGACAATTACAGACTCCTACATAGGATTGGTTATGTGCGTCGTGTCATTATCCACAAGTAGCATTTTGTGCACTCAACAACCGGAGTGAACATAAACAATATTAAAGCTATGTGATCGAGGCTGAAAGAGTTTTTGAGACTTTATCATGGCTCTAGAGGCCGACTATTCTGTAGCCATATGGATGATTTCTTCTACTGCAAGCATTACGATTTTAGAACTTCTGAACCTCTTTCTAACCTTGAAAAGTTTTTGAACCCCGTATAAGAAATGTATCCACTTTCTTTCCTTGTTTTTTTTAATAATATATTTTTACTCTATACTGACTGTTTGCTGATTGGCTAATATTTCTCAAGGTCACTTAAAATTCGTTCAAAGGTCGTCCATAAATTAGAGTCTCGCCCTACTATTAATGACATCCAAAACTATAACAGAATATAAATACTTTTTTGACGTTAGTATACAACAAATATCTAAGCTTTTAAAAGCTTTCGTCATATTGAATAAAGCCATTAATAATAATAAATCAAATGGTAAGTTATACTTGCTTTTTTTTCTTCTTGACAAATAATCGAATAGAAATTATTTCCTAAGTTGAAATGATCACATAATTAATCTGAATCGGAGTACCATTGAAAATCAAACAGGACTTAATAACTGTTTCAATGCGATCATAAAACTTTTCAAAAATGTGAACTCTGATAATTAGCCTTATTAGATGGTGGTTGGAGGTAGTCAACAGGAAACCCTGGACCCGGATTTCGTGCTACTTGGCACTCGTCAGCAAGATGTACCTGTAATCTTGAGGGAACTGGTGCTCCCTGTCGAGTCACCTAGACTGGTGGCCACATTGCAACATGATCGATAGTATTCGATCTGCACTAATAAGGACTAGACAAGCATGACATTGATCACCACCCAGTGATCAATCAATTGTAATTAGTCTTATATTATGTAGAAATAGTTGTTCAGTGCTTTTAGATTTTTAATGTTACCCTATTTGTGACAAATACAATCTATAAATTAATCTGATTCTTATAAAAATTTTATTAATTAACTTATAAGAGTTAATTTTCAACTTTTTATAACTAACCGATTAGGACGTTTATCTGGATCAATTTGACCATAATATCGAACAAATTCTCGTTCAGCACTTTCACGTTCCTCTGAATCAATGACACTTCGATTGTATGTAGTAAGTTTTGGTAATCTGGCAATTACATGAGCTCGACAATCAGGTTCTATCCAAGACTGAAAATATATAGATATATACACATAATGTATATATAATTATTTCGTAAAGAAAACTTCAAACGAAAAGGATTTTGAGATAAATTCTAACATTTAAAAAGTGTTGATGGAAATATTTCTTACACAATAGTTAATTATAATTAATGCAGTCTAAAACAAAATGTACATTGGCCAAACTTCCTATTATGTCCTATGACCCGTCAAATATCAGGTGACAAAATCGTTGTTCAGAACACCAACTTCTATAACCTTGTCCATGTACTAAACCAATCATGCGTTAACCAGTACGAGCAGCCTTGAGTCAACTCTCAGGACTTATTGGTCTTCTGTATAGCAACTTCTGGCCTAATCCAACTCATTCGGTCCAGAATGCAATCTAAGCCTCTACTGTTTAAGTCGTCTATTTCAGACATACGTGACTTATATACAAGTAAACCAGACCGCATCCCACCATAAAATTAAAAATAATTATTAGATAAACTAAACCCCAAATTGCGTTTAAGTATAGGAGACTGTAACTAATAAGTATGGAATAAGTTAAGAATAGTAAATCGTATAATAGTAGTCAATAGGTCATATAAAAGCTTATAATAAATGGAATAGGAAAATATGTATATTCTAGTTGTTTAATAATTATCTCATAACAATATAAGTAATAATAATCCATGAAGAATTCCTAGCAGTTATTATTCCTTTATTTTTCGTTAGGATATAACACTTCCTATACCACGTTAGCACAATGAGTTGAAAACAACAAAGTGAATATTGGAAAAGAGATAGAAATGAATAATAAGATTAAACGTTGGGTATACATGAAGGTATATTAGAGCTCAAAATCTAAAGTATATGTATTTGTGCTATTTTGACCTATTCTAAGCCATTATTTCCTAACGTATTCAAAATCATTGGTTATGATAATCGAGAGAATTCCAGCTAGATAGTTTGTACCCACTTGCATAACTCAACTTAACAGTCAATGACTTTGTGAACTGATGTCACGTTTTAGCTTGACTACAGTCAAATTTCATTTAACCTACTTCTACACTTGTAAACATTAACAAGGAACATAGTACACATGAGATAACTGTCCCTATTTTTATTTCAGTAGAATATATTTATGGTTTTTCAACAAATCAAACCTAGACAGTGAAAATATTTACAAAAGGAACTTAATCTCGGAATAACTGACATCATTTAAGTGATCAGCCTTTTGGAATTTCATTAATTAACAATACAATGTAGATAAACCATATCAAAACTTTAGATTATGCACATCTAAAGCTTCTTCAATATACATCATGAAGTGTATGTATATACATACGTTTCAATAGGCTAGTTTGTATCATTAACTACTATCGAATAGCTAGTATGATGTAACATATTTATGGTCAACCATATATGGTGCAATATAATATTTAATAATGTTCCATGATCCTTCACTGAACTGTATTGGTAAATGTATTCTACTAATGTGTTGAAAAAAGTATTCCCATGAACAACTAATGTACCTACCTCCACAAAAACAGCAAATGAATAAGTGTAATTCCTAAAATCGAACTGGTTACTCAAGGTAGTTTGTTCTATTTTGAAAAGGTTTATTAATGACCAGTTAGTATAAGGTATTAAGCAATGGTGAATGAACACATAATATTGTAGTAGTAGTCTAAAACTAAAACATGAAGTTGAAGATACATCCACAGTCCCGAAGAAAGTTTTATTCTTGAACATTGAATTCAAGGTAGATACAGTAGCTGAGGTATTAAAGAATAAACTATCGAGATTACTGAGAAAGACGTTTTATTTAGCAGAGCTCCGATATGCTTTTTAGAAAGAAACTCATTTAAGAGAAGTGTCGAGGAAAAACTGCAGCTTAGGACCACCTTAATGTGCATTTATCAGTTTACTTGCTCTTGTGGAGCAGGTTATATTGGCCGTATAAAGTGTGAACTTGGTAAACAAATATCCGAGCACTAACGTGCATGGCTATCTAGAGAAAAATGAGAATCGATCAACAACTGAATTCTTGAACACATGATCAACTTGGGTCACACTACAACACATGGATCGTCATTCAAAATCCTGTACAGATTCAGAAGAACTAGCTCAAAAAAGGTTTGGATGGGGAGTTTGTACACAACTGAGGCTACAGCAATTCACCATTTTAAACCTGACCTCTATGTACAGAAGAGTCATATTTGATCCCTTATTCTCCAAGTCTTTCCACCCCCTTGAATTTTACAAATTATAAATATTAACTATTACCTTCTTCTCTCCCTTTATAAAGCATACAGTTATCTTTAACTTTTATTCTATAGATTATTACCTTTAATTGCTTCCAAAACTATTACATAGCGTAAGTTCTTGATGATTTTTGATTACTTTTCTAAATGATGCAATACTCATATTTGTTCAATACTTGAAATCTATTATTTATTATTTAATTTATTTTAACATATAGACATTGGTAAAAAGAGGCACCAAATACATATGCGCCACACAAATCTCATTTAATATGTGTAAGGGCTGTGATACTACTCGGGTGCCCAAACCGAAGCATGTGGTTTTCTTAGGGGGGAAACACTCGTAGCCTTCGGCCTGAAGGTCTGATCCACAAGGTAGTGGAGAAACGTCAGGAGATGCAGTCGCATGGTAACCGGTGGCCAACGCCATTTGTCACTTCAGGATATTGGAGCCCAAGTGCACCATTGGTTTGGAATCAGGGTTTTCCAACTCCCTTAGGTGGACTCTCCATGTCCACCAACCCGGTTGAAGTGCCGGACATTCGCTTTTCGTTCTCACATTTTCGTAAACAACAAGCCCGCCACGAGAAGGACTTCCCTGGCAGAGGCTATATACACGTGGCCATGTGAGAGCATTTCGAGAGGGAGAGCGGACTCTCCCCAGTCTCGGCCGTACCAGGGCTTTTGGTGTCAAATAGGAACAACGACGGGGCGGATTTGAATGCATATAACATACAGTGCTCTTTGAACCTGGCACACAACAATAGCATCATGCACTGTCCCATCGCCTTAGATAGATCAGGCAACCCGAAAGTTATGAGAACACCATCAGGGCATACGACAGGCTAGGTACCCCAGTCAAATCTATTACCTATAAATAGGATTGTATATTTTCAAAAAAATGGTATTATCGAAGAGAAAATTTTCTCCATTTAAACGTCTTCAATATTTTCAATAGACCAATGGGCTTTCACTTTTTCTTTTCTTTTCAATATTGATAATAGTAATAATAATTGGTAGTAGAATTTTTCAAACAAAACAAACGAAGATGGACAGTGGATAGTAGTGGAATCCAGGATGAGTGTTTCATCCTATCCGGGATTCGTCAGCTGGATGTACCTGCATCTCAGAATTGATTTTCACTCCGAGACTCCAACCCAGTACCGTTCGCTCCAAACGCCATTGCGTTATCCACTTAGCTGCTGAGTCCTGATAGCCACCTGCTTGTGCAATGGGGTGAAGTTTAAGCTCACTTGGTGTTGTTTTACTTGTATCCTCCCATTGTTATTTAGGACTGCAATTGATCAGTCTCATGTTGGCATATGTGCATCTTGTGAGGATTGCCTCGATATAAATAGGACGGAACGCGCATCCTGGATTTCACTGCTAGCCACTATCCATCTTTGCTTAGAAAGTTTGTGACTTAAGGCTATACCGAGGTAATCCGCACAGGATGCATATATGCCAACATGAGACTGATCAATTGCAGTCCTAAATACCAATCGGAAGATACAAGTAAAACAATACCAAGTGAATTAAAACAAATGAATAAAGAAATTTTCGCACATTTTCATTTCTCTAATTAGATGATGTTGGGTAATGAAATGACCTTGAATTAAATGTAACATTATTGATGCCCATTTTAAACGAGGAAATAAAGGATTGTTAATAATTCACAATAATATTAAAGCCTATTACATTAGTAACCACAATATAAACAATAATATAATGAATTTATAAAATAGAATTAATTTGTACTTATGATATAAAGTTCATATTATAAGGGATATTTGAAATACAATATACAAAACAATTGTTTCAGATTGGTCAGAAGTTGTTTACTTCTGTTTCTTTTAGAAGCTAACAAAATTAGATTAACTCATTTAGCTACTTAGTATAGTTTAATTTACTCGATTTAGAAGTATAGTACTTATGTCAGTTAATCAATTATAATACAATGTGGAACATGACAAATATCTGTATCGATTCAAGTCATTACATTACATTAGTATAGCAAAGTGATTTAAAAAAAATCAAGATAAATCCCACAGTAGTAATGTGGTGTTTGCTATTTATGTTGACAGGTATTAGTAGTCTGTAGCAGCAATCGGAAGTGGAATGTCTGATAGTAGAAGATTGAATTGAAGAGAACAGGAATGTTAACAGAGATTATTTACAATAACAACAGAATTGAAAAAATCATAAATCATGTAAGAGACAACTGAAGGAAGATGTGCAAATAATGTATTAAATGCATAGTTTTCATATTTTACGAAAGTACTCTGTAATTTTGCATCAAACAATAAGTTGGTGTTCCACACCAAATCTTCATTCATTACAGTAGTAGTGGTAATAGTATCAATTGGAGTAGATTAGATTAGCTATAGACAATATAAATCGAGGAGATGGAATGAATTCGTGGAATAAAAAGTATAAAAAATTCCAAAACTTAAGATTTAAAAGAATAAGAAAAGTGAATACATCTGTGCACCATTGAGACTGATTCTGAATCATCTCACCCAACATGTCTTACGATTATCACAATAATAGGACAGATCCCAACCAGTCTTCATATACCAACAAGACTCATTTCATCAATCAGTTACTTTATGAACTGATGTCACATCTTGATTTTACCTCATTTAGACCCCTTTCAACCTACATATATATCAGTAAATACCACTCATCAAGGTAAGTTATCGTTAGGCAAACGTGACATCTACTCAATATCTTTTAATGTCTAAAAGTTATCCAGCTAGCATTAGTTCGTAGTAGATATAATCATTAATGAAGTAATAATTTCCCAAAAAAGAGTAAACGAACAGACAGATAATAACAACAAAAAACATACCTGAAATACAGGTAAAGTATTGCCTAATCGTAAATTGGTTAAACTAGGCATCCATTCATTCAAAGCATCAATACTTTCCCATTGATTGATTAGTGTTTCTGATAAACCTAATGTATGTACATTTTGAAATAAGCACTGATGCTGATAACAAGTATTTCTTGATGTATTATTATCAGTATTATTATTATTGTTATTATTATTATTATTAGTAGTAGTAGTAGTTGTTGTTGTAGTATGCTGAGATGTATGTAAATTCTCTTGAGGAAATGGTATATGTTCAATAGGATTACCTAATAAAATCAATTGTTCCAATCCAGGGAAATGTTTACACAAACGACATATTGTCCACCAATTCGATATGCCATTATCGCTATAATATAAACTGTGTAAATGAGGAAATACAGGTAATGGTGTGGCATCATTATCATCATTATGATCAGAAGATACTTCAGTCTGCTCTTCTGCTCCATAATTATTACGTGCAACGTGTAAATCGGTTAAGCTGAAAACAGATTTAAAAAATATACGGATATTAAATATAAATATTTTTAATAGTACAGGGGGAGGAGGCGATTTTCTGGAGATTATTGAATTTTGCAGTTTACAACGCGGACCAAACTTGGTTAAATAACTGTTGAAAACTAGGAAGCACTGAACAGCTGTCTCATCCTAGCATGGAACTCCTTAGCAGTAAACACCCAAGATTAGCACTTAAGATTAAACATAGGAACATCATATAAAGGATTTGTACTACTGAGGAGCCCCATACTATGATGAGACAGGTATCCAGTCCTTCCTAGTTTCGAATGTTTGTCTACGGTCAGTCTATGATGTAAGATACACAAATTGTTAGAACGTTTTGTGTTTACGGAGTAAAGTGGAAAATTCCAAGTATAAAGAGATGTTTATCTACGCTGTGATATATATAGTAGTATGACGTACGATACTCACATCCTAGATATACACGGATAAGGTCAATTCACCCATCAATTAGATAGTGTGTGTGAAATGTTGAATGATTTTACACACCACTCACCAACTAGTACACTAAAATGATGCTAAACTTTCCAAAAACTAGTTTTTAGAAAGATTATCTGAACAAATAAATTTTACGAATATTCACTGTTAAGACATGTATATATGCATAAAGAGAGTAAACTTAAGCGAAAACAATTCTATGACTAGAAGCTTTCTCAAGTGATTATTAATGCATCTTAGTGCGAGAAAAGTATATCATATCAAACTTAATTGGTACATAACGCTGAAACAGACGGATATTTCAATTCTGAATCATTTGAAAGTTATGCGTTGAGTCAAGTAAGAAACATTTTGCGAAAGTCCAATGCTTCTAGGTTTTCAATGGTGATCTAACATTGATTAGTTTATGATCTTAATTAAAATGATATTTCATTTAAGCTACATCGTTGATAGCAGTGATCAATAAATGAGCCTTATAACACAGTTTTTAATTTCATTGTTGCATAAAATCTGTATTTTACGCTTATTTGTAGTTTGAATGAAATTTAATCATTTTCTAAAATAGATGAATTGTGGCTAACAGTCGAATTCAAGAGCTATATTTTGTTTTATTTTTAACTTGTCATCTGGATATACCTGTTACATTTCAGCATTGTTGATGTTCACAATGATAGCTACAGATAAGTCCCAAATACGATTAAATACGCGCCCTAAATTCCTTTCTTAGCTACTATTCAACCTTACTAAAATTTGTGATAAAATAGCTGTATCGATGCAATACATGGAGAATGCACATGTCTTAACAAAGCTTGGTCGAAAATTCAGTGTTGAATATCAACAATGGAATAATTCAAATCATTACTATTTCTTGATTATATGAATTTTAACAATGTATATTTCCAAGTAAAGTAAATGTATGAACCCGTCACATAGAAAACGATCCAGTTATTTTGTTTTTTAATTGTATCTGTGTGGATTGTGGGGGCAGTTGTTGAGCAAACATCAACATCACTCAGGGATAGGATCAATTCAAATGACAGATTGCATATCTCAACCTCCCCCCCCCACACATAAAATGAAATAATATTTCGACTATAACTATCACGATATACTTTCAGCTGTATAGTTTAATAATAATAACTTCGTTAAAAATAGATTACCTCATGAAGTCTTTAATATTTGCTCATGACAAAAGTTTCCTTTGTTATAACTCACTTTGGTAGTCGATAAAGCAAATCAATCACCCAATCCCATGGTACATACGTCGAATTCAATGCTAGTACACTTAAACAAGGAAACACTGTGGTAGGAGATATAATACCGGAATTTAAAGCCAGTTCAGATGGAGCTGAAGGATGCTACAAATTTAATAGGAAAATGTTATATATAAAGAAAATCAAGTTGACGGTAACATGAGAATACATATATGATAAATAAATTATTACCAGATTATTATACAATAATCATGAAGCTTGGTCAATAGTGCATTAGTCCAAATTGTTGCTCATATAAACGGAAAAATGTAAATGCTTGAGTTATATTGGGGTCTGTGTGATCAGGCTGTAATTACAGGACAGCAGTTGCATGATCTCTCTGTAGTCCGATGATCGATTAATTCGCCCATGTTGTCTGGAGGGTCAGTGACCAACGAACAACAGATAACAACTAAATACTTATTAATCCTCGAATCCCTTCTAACCTAGCGTCTAAACAGATGACAAGGATAGAGAGCAGATTAAAGTTAACATGAAGTATACAGCCGAACCAATGAGGAAAAAAAGCCTTTTAAGTTCATAACACAAATATCAAAATAAGGATAGGATTTGGCGTTGAGTATTGGGAGTTAGAGTTAGGCTTTCCATCACAAACTGACATCAGCTATAATGCCAGGATCCTAATATCTGTATCACAATCTGAATTATTAGCAAGAAAATCTATCCAATGATCTCTGCCGTCTCCTAACCAACTTAAACCGGTTAAAACTCTGAGGTCGTTCGGCTGTATACTTTATGTTTACCTAGATTAGTTATATATATATATATATATATATATATATATATATATATATATATATATATAATCTTGCAAAATACATTCATTTCGTCCGTTAGACCAGTTTGAAATGATTTTAGCTGTTTTCTACCATATGATTTACACTCTTCTTAAGTTTAACAAAACTTTCCTATACACATAGAAGTTAAGCTAATGAGAGACTTTCCGAGTAAACAATAACTGTAGGACAGTTATCCAGTTATAATCAATGTGGAACCTGATACAAATGTGAATAAGTTCGAGTTACCGCACCATATAAGGACAGCAATGTGAAATTAAGATGAGTAATAAAGCAGTTGCAATAATCATTGTAAGAAGGACTAAACATTGAGGATATGGTTCAAGAAGTAATGCAGTGGTATGTATAAATGAATACCAGAATAGCTTTTGAAAAATAAAGTGGATGCAACCGCGTCATTATGAACAATTACGAGTCATGTCACTTATTTATTTATTTTAACACATAGACATTGGTACAAGGAGGCACTAAATATATATGCGCCACACAAATCCCATACCATATATGTGATACTGCCCGGGTGCCCAAACCGAAGCAGATGGTTTTCTTAGGGGGCCACTCCCCGAGCCCTCGACCTGAAGGTCTGATCCACAAAGCAGTGGAGCATCGTAAGAAGATGCAGTCCCATGGAAGCCGGTGACTAACAATTGGTTCATACGCCATTTGTTCCTTCAGAATACTGGAGCCCATGTGCACCATTGGTTTGGAATCCGGTTAAAGCGCCGGACATTCGCTTTTCGTCCTCTCATTTTCGTAAACAACACCCCCGCCACGAGAAGGCAGTGAGTAGGACTTCCCTGGCAGAGGTTATATACGCGTGGCCATGTGAGAGCATTTCGAGAGGGAGAACGGACTCTCCCCACTCTCGGCCGTACTAGGGGATTTGGGGCCTATGTCACTTAGCTTTTCCAACTACTCATAGAGGATACTGCATCGATCCTAATCGGATTTAATCTGCGCCTACCAACATGACTCACATCAACAGTCAATGACTCCATAGACCGATAATAAATCTTGATTCATTCATCCCTACTTCTCTTCCAACCTTTTATAACTTCCAATTGAAGTGATCAACACGTTCAAATACTTCACTCCTTATCATCAGTTCATTTATTATTTAATGGATATTATATCTTAATATTTAAACAAATCGAACTCGTAAAACACTTTGATCAGATCAAAAAAAGCAATAAATATTATTGTATAACTAATTTAAAGTATTCAGAAAAGGAACAAATATAATAATAGCTTGAAGACAAAGAAGTTATTTAAAATAAATAAATATTAGGTTCCGCCAATTGAAATTTCACTATTCAATAAGTGATTTATATATATATGAACACACACACATACACATGCATACAAGTTGATTGGTCATATGATGGCATAATGGAATCATACGGTTGAGTAAGTAAATCATGCCAATCACCTGATTATACAATTATCTTCCTTATATATGCATGTTGTTATTATTGTTGTAATATTTGCATTGGAAATTAATTGTAAATAAGGAGTAGAATGAAATATAAACAAAAATTTGCAAAAATTTAAAGCGAATGGAAGAAGAAGAAGAAGAATAGTAACAAAAATAATAGTTTTGCGTAAAGAAAGTGTAGAAAATATTCGGGTAAGGAAGAAAATGTACTTTTTATTCACGAAAAAAAAACACATTGCGATTTGACTGAAATAAAGATAGAACTTAACTATGAATAATTTCATTAGTTTGTCGATTTGTACTTTTGAAAGATATTTAATTTCTGGGTCATTTTAAAGTGAAAGAATATATGATGGTGGTGAGGGAAATTGAATCCAAACGTACAGTTGTAAAATTATTTGTACCGTACGAATATCCTTTATTTTTAAAACCCAAACTTCACAACCGTAAAGTAGAACAGAGCGAACTACCGCATGGTATATTCGACCCTTTGGTTGACAACCGAATATTTCACCTACGTCACTATTGACGCAAGTTGATAAACGCCAATTGAGGCTTTATCAGACATCATTCGTCCAGGGTTGATGAGACTTTTAAGTGAAGCGATAGACACGTTCAAATACTTCATCAGTTTAGGCATTGCCACAAAAGTAAAAACACTAACAGCAGCCACAATTAAAAAGACCAAATGAAAATATAAGAAACGAAAATATAGAACATAGTACTGAAAACTCAACTTAAGACAAAAAATAAATAAAATCTACACCCCTACAATTGATTTCCAGCCATATAATGTAGTTTACAAACCGTTGTTTACAGTTATCACGAAGACTCCATCAAGGAATCCTACAACTTTCTATGCTGACCGTCACAGTATTCAGAAGTAGGTGGTTGAGCATAGGGACAACATATTCCGACCGTTCCAAGTCTAAGGTTTCAATAACATACCACCTTAACTTAGTATCCTACAGCAAGTAAAACCATTTCTTAAGTGATATTTCTCTCATACTCTAGCAATAATTAGAAGAAACTTATGTTTGGACACTGTTATCTTATCTATACTCTATGATGATAGACCAGGTTGTTTCACAATTATGCATTAACGCAGAAACGAATTTCAAGCCTAATATGAAATATACCAATGCAAAAGGAGGTCCCGATTCTAAAATGATTTTACTTTAAACGATATTAAAGTCTAGAGCGAAACTATACAGTTGCTTTGCGATTTTTCACTCGTACGTAATACCTACAACTGTTTTCGGGAACCGGAATCAGATTCTCCAGCTATTTTATGATAGACACTGTGCTTGATTTGAATGATTGAAGCATTCATTTTAACAGGTTTTAGAAGTTTGTCAGCACTGCGTTATTATTGTTATTTTATTTTAACACATAGATATTGGTACAAGTAGGCACCAAATACATATGCGCCACACAAATCTCATTCCATATGTGTGAGAGCTGTGATACTGCCCGGGTGCCCAAACCGAAGCAGGCAGCACTGCGTAATATAGCATTACAAAACATTTCGAGTAATATGATCAAACACAGTAACTTGTTGACATGTATACTGAGTTCTAATTTTATAACATTAGTCCTGATTGGGATCGTCTCAGTAAATTATTCAAATGTATCAGAACTTGTTATCGATGTTCTTGATTCAGTACCAAAATAATATGGAAATTATCTTCAGACGGATCAAGCCCATCGAATAAACATTACGATAGCTGAATGAATAAATAAATGATTCCGAATTAATTTTCATCACGAGTCAATCTCAACTGGGTAACGATCGAAAACCAAAAGGCGCTGGACAAATGTTTTGTTTTAGTTTGAAAATAAATTTTGAAATTTAAAACATTTGGTCACGACTCAATTTCCTAAACGATATGATTCCTGTCAGGATTGTAAATATACACTTCTGAGGAGTCTAAAAATTGAAGGGGATGACTATCCAGAGGTAGGTGGCTTCAAAAATTCCCCAATTGAGATTAATCAATGAAGAAAATCGTCTCAAAATTGAACTGATTTCAATAACTAACCAATTCAGTATATAAATGAAAAAAATTCCGTCTAACGGTCTATATTTGGTAGAACACTTACCTTTGGTAGCGTTTTCATGTTAGATGGTTCATTTCCTCTTGTTTGTTTGAGATTACCATTACTACCAACACCATCATTTGGATGGTTAGTCGACCTAATTTTTTCTATTGAATCATTCAGGGATTCACTGTGAAAAATTGGTGAGAAATCAATTTCATTATGTTTAGACTGAAGTATTTTATTCGACTTGGATGAAGATGACAGTTTGTTAAAATAAAAATAATTTTGATCCTGTATTGATAATTCAGAGCTATTCATGGGTTGAATATTTTCTTCTCCTTCAGTAGATAATAAACCAATAGTGTCTTCATCAAAAGATGAATTGGAAGATTGATTATCAGAGATATGACAACCTAGTGGGTTTTGACTTAAATTTAATGATTCAAGTTTCTCAAGCCAACATAGAATTTTAAATACCTAAAAAGATAAAACAGTCAACATACAAACATCACGAAATATTAATCAATAACAAATATTGTATGGGTACTTTCGTATTACAGTGCTGCCATATATTTACTAATTAATAAGCTGAGTGAGTTAATTAGTTAAATAATAATTATCTAAACAGCGAACAGTTGGTCTGCAACCTTAAAGCTAGATTAAGTGAAACATCCGGTCATTTCCTTATAATTAAAAGACAAACTCCATAATATTTAGTAAAAAATTAGAAACAACTGATTTTTGCGTTGAGTTAGATGTTTATCAGTTTAGACAGCATATCTGCCCACTAAAAACCTCAATGAAGAGATATTCAACCGCAAACTTACAATAAGTGCCTACCTTTGAGATCGATTTGCTGTGAGTTTTTGCAAGCTGGCTTTGAAACCAAATGCAACAAACATTAGCTTGTGATCAGTCAGTAATATTAACCTCTGCTTCAAACGAATTTATAATACTATGTAGCAGAAAAAGCCAAAATAAATATTTACTATCCTATATGATTGCATTTCACGTTGAGGTCAAAGACCGGAATAGACACATACTGATCTTCTCCATTAAGTCTAAAAATACATGAAATAAATCTCTGTTCAGAGTACAGTATAATCATTATTAATACTAAGTATAACAGATCATTATAAATCGCGCTTACTGATTTTAAAATGCTCACAACCAATTTAGGTAATCACAATAGTTTCGTAGTTCTACCAATAGTTAGGTTTCCCTGTAATCACACTGATATTCTATAAGATGACTGGTCCAACAAAGAAACCAAATAGGTTGTGCTGAACGAACTACTTTTGAAATGGACTTATAGGACTGATGCAGACTACATAGTTTTAGTAGAAATCACTGACAGATAAAGCGAGCCGTGCATCCTAGTTTTCAAACACGATAATGCCAAACATTATTGCTGCCGATCATAATTAATTAGGCTCAAAATCTTTGGAATGAGCTCAAAGGGAACTATTTTATGCTGTAATACTGGTAAAGTACCTTATATCATCTGAGTTAACTTTTCTAGCATTATTTAATAATAATAATAATAATAACCCCCCACTCCAGTTATAGTTATTGTTTTGTCCTATTGAGGTGGTTGGTCTTACGTTTTTATTACAACACACAAATTAAGAAAACTGTTACAACAGTCAACACACAGGTTTATGACTGATGAGCCCCATAACTGTTAGCCCAGTAATACATTTCAAGACAAAAAGCTTTCTGGAAACCGGATAGGATTATACATACACAACTAGCGCCTCGATTAATACGATAAAGCCACTATTATTTATTGAAATTTGGACTCATCAATGAAAAAACCGTCTAAACTTTGGCTGGATACCAAACTATAATTATTCAGCGAATATAAACACACACCTCTTCAAATGAAGACAGCCGATTACAAGCCAAATCTAACTCCCTGACATGTTCAGCTGCTTTTAGCAATTCATCCTTGCAACCAATGCTCTTTATATCTTGAGAGTCCATTGTTAATGTCCGAGTAGGAAATAGAATATTCGATCCGTCACGACTACACGTCTTTTGGATGTGGCCAACTAAAATGTGACTTTCTGTCAACTTTTCCTGTTTCTTCTGTATTGCATCAACAAGAGTTGCCATCTTAACAATAAATGTATTAACAACAAAAACAGTTGAGTGAGCGCTGAACCATAAAGTTCATTGAAACAAACCAATAAAAGAAAACTAGTTTTACGGTTGGATACGATCGTTCCCATAAATATGAAGAACATCACATAATTATGCAGATAATCATGGAGTCTATTAATTATTATTTGATATTCTTGTTCTCACTACAATTTTTTAAAAATACATTCACAATAAAAAAACCAGTTAGCTTTTTCATGGATTTTTTTATAGTTCTTAGTTTGGTGCCATGGTAAGCTAGTTTTGATCTTTTAAAGACTTTCCAGTAAAACTAATTATTAAAACGGCACCACAGAATTCAAAGTAACGATAAATACTGAAACTAATGAATTAACTTAGAAGTCGTTATTTTAACGAAGAAACTTATCGGCAGTTCGTTGACCATCGTCACTTCAATGTTTATGGTCCATCAAGAGTTTTGTTAGTCATTGCATACCCTAATCTTCCCATCCATTCAGTCGCACCAATGCAGTCCTCAAAAATATAAGTGATGTACAGGAGATTTTTACTTAAGCGAGATGTTTCTTAACTCCGCCTGAAGTCCCTCCGGGGGCTACTGCCGGTCCCAAGCCTGGATAAAGGAGGAAGGTTGGGCATGGGGTTAGCGTCCCCACTCCGTAAAAAACTAACTAGTCAAATTTCGATCTCCTTATTCCTTCTTGTCTCTTTTTTTCTCCCCAAATTTATTTCACTGTATTATACTCTTTAAATAACATCTCCAAACACTAATTTTCGTGATTACTGTGTAGTGACTCACGTTTATCACGAGAACACGACTGGTTTAATAAAAACAATTATTATTATAACCAACTGTATCAGTGTTTGTTTTAACGTGCTTTTGTTTGACTGTGCTAATGACAGCTATTTTGTGCTTCCATTCTTTTACTTACACTTTGATTGTAACTTCGCGCGGATTCGGTTACGTTCTGTAACCAAGCTTGTATCCTGGCACGATCTCGGTATCCTTTCGATGCCACGAGATCGCCAGCAAATAAACATCGACTTGGTCCATTAATTGCCTTCTGATATTTGGCTTCTTGGGGATTTTATGGATCTATTTGGTTACGTCCAACCCTCGCCTTCTGATTCGCTTGGCACGTGTTTCTTGGTAGCGGTGTTCATAGTTAACCTCAACTCGACGCCACGCTACAACTGCTTACACTCCTATTACCTCTACCACTACACGATTTGATTCGACCACTGCATCTCTGTGCTAATGTGCTGTGGCAACTCGAACCAATGTACGTACGTACGAAGTTCTACGTTGTTACTGACTGACTGACTGATTCATACCTTTTAAACTCTGCCCCGGGAGTCAGAAGGTCTTCATTTAGAAGAACTATGACGCCTCATGATGAAAGCCGAATTCCTTCGTAAGTTACGAAGCCGATGCCCCTTCTGACAGTCAGAGCAACCATTTATTTAGGTACATGGAATGTTCGTACAATGTGGGACACCAGGAGAGCCTTCCAAATTGCTGCAGAAATGAGGAGATACAACCTAGAGGTGCTTGGGATCAGTGAAACACATTGGACGCAAGTTGGACAACAACGACTAACTTCAGGAGAGCTTCTGTTATACTCCGGCCATGAAGAAAAAAATGCCCCACATACACAAGGAGTCCAAACAAGCGCAAAATGCGCTTATAGGATGGAAATCTCATGGACCAAGGATCATCAAAGCCTCCTTCAAAACAAAAAAGAGGGCATTTCAATGAACATCATCCAATGCTATGCGCCTACCAACGACTACAATGAAGAAGCTAAAGATCAATTCTACAATAGGCTGCTGTCAATCATCGAGAAGTACCCAACAAAGGATCTGACCATTCTGATTGGAGATTTCAATGCCAAGGTTGGAACGGACAACACTGGATATGAAGACATCATGGGACGACACGGACTGGGAGAAAGGAACGAAAATGGCGAAAGATTTGCAAACCTATGTGCCTTCAATAAACTGGTCATAGGCGGCACCATATTCCCACATAAACGCATACACAAAACCACATGGACTTCACCGGATCACACCACGCAAAACCAAATCGACCATATCTGCATCGACAAAAAGTTCAGGAGGACGATGGAGGACGTGAGAACCAAGAGAGGAGCTGGTATAGCATCAGACCATCACTTGCTGGTCGCCAAGATGAAATTGAAACTCAAGAAGCACTGGACAACGGGGCGGACAATATCACAAAAGTTCAATACGGCCTTTCTCCAGGATACTAACAAACTCAACAAATTCAAGATAGTCCTCAGCAACAAGTTCCAGGCCTTTCATGATCTACTCAATGGAGAAGGAACTACAGTGGAGAGCAACTGGAAGGGGATCAAAGAGGCAATCACTTCAACATGTCATGAGGTCCTGGGTCACAAGAAGCACCACCACAAGGAATGGATCACTGTTGGTACACTGGATAAGATTCAAGAAAGGAGGAACAAGAAGGCAGCGATCAATACCAGCCGAACAAGAGCAGAAAAAGCCAAGGCACAAGCTGAATACACGGAAATAAACAAACAAGTGAAGAGGAGCATCAGAACCGACAAACGTAAATATGTGGAAGATTTAGCAACGACGGCGGAAAAGGCTGCAAGAGAAGGAAACATGAGACAACTGTATGGCACGACAAAGAACATTTAACCTCTTGTCCAAACAATGAATATATTTTCGTAGTATCCCGATCAGTAGAAAAGTTGTATTTCTGATGCTATGTGGCTTAATTTAGGCCACTTTATCAGAATAAATCAATAACCGAAGTAAAATTAGATTAAACAATCGCATCTGACCTTATTCACTATCCACACAATGTACACACAAATTCTGAATTTCAACCTCACAAGTCATTATTACAAACTTATGAATTTTTTATGCCTTCACACACACAAATAAATATATGTATGGGTCATACAGATTCATCTTGGCCAAAAGAACGTGACATTCACATGTTCAGACTTTTTATGATTTATGTTTTTCATTGTTTCCTTTGTATTATTTAAACTTTCGTTAATTTTATTTCAGTCATTGATTCACTCTGAAGAAGTGAATTACAATTCATTGGATTTCTTTAGGAAATGTGGACATTCTCTCCTTACCTTAAAATCATTGATTTCGAGCTTAATCCCTCTAGATGATAATTTTCAAGAGGGTACACATCTTCATTATTCCGCCTTATTAGGACTGCGAATCACCGAAATTCGGTTTGACACATGTGTCTTAAACTAGCTGTTCTCATTTTCAAATGTAATGCTGGGCAGTCATAGGATCCGTCCGTAATTTCGCCGCTGCAAACCTAATATCTAACCCGGATGGCAGCTAAGCCTTTACGCGAGCTGCCATTGATGCTGCAGTAAAGTCCAAGCGTTGTAAGTGTGAGCCTTCAAGGGCAGTACTCTTGCGTCCGCTTCAATAGAACGTGAACAGCCTTCGATTGCAGAGGTATAAATCGGGCATATGCTACGGTCGTATTACCAATATCTGAGGCATCATTAAATATGTGAAGTTTCACAAAAGAACGGCTTGTGCGAGGAGAACACATTGTAGAAACCCAGTGCTCTCAACCTACTGGAAGTCACCCACAAACTCTGGCCAACGACTGCTTCCTTCCTCTGGTATCTCTTCGTCTCAGTCTAACCAAGAATCGCACAATTTTTTAAGTAACTGCTTTATGGAGGGCAGAAGCAATACTGAAATTCTTAAAGGATAATGGGGTGAAACAGTGCTAAATAGTATACCTGGTCTAATGATGACCCGTTTTGGTGTATAGACCATAAATGTAAGGAAGTCATCCATAGTATTCCAGAACAAGTCTAACGTACGCTCCATTGAAAGCCTTTCAAAGTCGATTTCTCTGCGATCATCCAGTGTAATTGATTCGATGACTTGTAAGAAATCACTTATCTACCTGGCAAATCTGAACCCGCTCTTTCTGAAGACTGAACTGGCGAGACTATAATTTATGGACGAATCAATCAGATTTAAGATGTCAGGACTTGGATTTTAGCACGGAATTCATTCACTTATTTGACTACATACCGTTTCGGCATTACAGCTGATATCATTTAGTCACGAAAGCATCAAATCTAATTCACGACCCTAACGTTCAGCTACAAATCCTGATTCTGATTTTCCATAATAATTCGTGACACTTGTTCAACCACAGTAAATAGGTGGATAATCAAAGATCGTTTCGGCTTTTCTCAAAGTTAACCATAAATTATAGTTTAACCACTGGACCAGAGATTTCTGCCAAATGAACTGCGTCCTGTACGTTATCGGTAGGAGCTGAGTAGTCATTGCCTTGAAGAAGTTTGTCTACGATGTCCTACAGATTTTTAATTAACTCCTCGACAAATTTGTCCACAGTCTTGCTGAGAGTGAAATTAACACAAAAGGAAACAGATTCTGCTCCAAATGGATGAACTATCATGTCATATTCCTTAACTTCCCGTCTTACGTCACCTTCCATAAGCCACAACAGACGAAACACCTCATATCTCGCTACGTGACCCTTAATGGAAGAAGCATCTCTTCGATACCAACCACTAATGAGATATCACCTTGTGTGAATGATAGAACAACACCTACCCAACTATTTAGAATATTCTGTCCCCTCAAGACCTGATCACTGAGGGAGAATCTTGATGAACAGCCGTGTAGCTAAAAGGAATTTCCAACTTTCTTACCTTTTCAGTGTTGATAACAGGATGATGAAGAATATGCCAACAAACTTCTCTCCAGTCAAATCCCACCTTACTAGCTTCGATGATATAACCTTTACTAAAATGTTTATTCACTACAGCTGAGTATATTTTTCAGGAAACTATTATCCTTCATGGACCTCTTTTCTAAACAGTTTATGCTATGTTTGACAGTTTAAAAATTGTTCGATGTCCTTGGATTGCCATACTTTCAAGGTAAACCCATTAGAAAATAACCATCCAATTGACTAAAGGGGTCAATGACTAGTTTTAAAGCTCTCTCATCTTAGGTAGAACGTTCCTTACGAAACATA